AAAATTAATAATAAAAAAAAAAAAAATAAAATGTCTCTTTTATTTATGTAGCAAGTACAAAAGTACGTGAATACATATTCTCATGATCACTATCGTTAGTGCTATTAATGTTTCTCCTCTAAATAATCAGCTTCAAATTATTGCAAGCCTTAATAATTCTCCATCTCTTTTCATATTGTAATCATGTCCATGCAGGATATATACTATAATCCATGACTTTGATTTTTTTTTTCTTTTTATTTTTGGCAAAAAAATAAAAATAAAATTTTGTAGAAACTAAAGGCTCGAAAGACTGGACCGAAAAGAGTGATATTTACGGATTCGGGCTTCTCCTAATCGAGCTCCTGACAGGAAAATCACCGCGCGATGCTGAGTTGAGCGCCATCCACGAGAGCATCGTTGAGTGGGCTCGGTATTGCTACTCGGACTGCCATCTCGAGATGTGGGTCGATGCAAATATAAAGAAAGATGAGGGCCTAATGAGCAAATACCAGAATCAGGTCTTCGAGGCTATGAACCTTGCCCTACGCTGCACCGCGGGTGATCCAGCTGCCCGCCCGTGCACCCTCGATTTGGTCCAAAATTTAGAGGCAATTGCGAGATCGAGTTCTTGTGTGTGGTTCTTGAAGATTTAAAGCTTTGTTTTCGCTAGTATTAATTAATTTAGGGGCTTTTATTTTAATGTCTTTTCCTTGAATTTTATCTTTTTCTTTCACTTTTTTCAGACGATGTTGTACTTGATGTTGTAATGTGATGCTTGCATATGCTGCTGAGTGTATAATTGTACATATAATGATATGAAGTTGAGTATACAGCGTCCAATTACTTGAAGTTGACCGACTTACTGGGGTCGCAGGAGGTGGGAGCCTGATTAGGGGATAATAGCAGCGTTCTTATTATCGATTTCCATGTCCCTCTTCAGGCCTCCTCGAGCTACGACGCGGAGGTTCAAATGCTTTAGATCGGTCTTCAGACTTTCGCCTTGATCTTCTCTCACATTTAGATAGAGTTTGACGCTACCGTTATCATCATTCTCTTAACATCTGCCATCAGGGCATGTGATAAATTCAACATCCTCTCATGTGCATTAGAGCCACACTTCGAATCGCACACATCTTTCGTGAGGGGAACCGGCCTGCTGACTTTCTCGCTGGCATCGGGTCCTCCACATCCAGTGGCGCATTCTTTACTATGACGATATTCCTCTATACGCCTTCGTACCCTTATACGGATGGACCAGATAGGATACCCTTCATTCAGATTTGTGTAGCCGATCCTACCTGTTAACACATCTGCTCTCCCGTGATGCTGGAATTTTCGTCAGGACTCTTCCCGATCCAGGATCTGTTATTTTTTTGTTACTCATTGTTGTTGTCAGCTTTTACTTGTATATTTTTTTGCTTTTGTTTTTTGTTTTTTGTTTTTTTTTTACTCGCTTGACTTGATGTATATCAAAGATTTGACTTGTAGACTTGTGACTTTTTCTGCCCCTTTAGAGCCTTTTTATATACAGGTTGGAATTCCGGCCTTAACCCCTATCATTCCAGTGTGTTGTTTGAAANNNNAAAAAAAAAAAAAAAAAGTGTTCAATATATACATATTAAAAGGAGAGAAAACAATGGTATAGTGAAGGGTTCTGAACTTCTGATAATCAACAGTGAGTTAGGTCAACAGAAAAAATCCAAAAATTATTCTAATTGTTGGAGGGGACCAAAGGACCATAATTATATGGACCATATTACAAATAAATTTCAACTTTTGATTGACTAATATTATAAAGCTTATAGTAAATGCATATATAGAGAAATGCTACGGTCTCGTTACAGTACCATCCCGTTACGGTATCATACCGTTGGATCATCTATTTTATCTAACTACATGTGGATCCAACGGTTAAAACACCTGACGGATGATACCGTAACGGGACAGTAACATTTTCCATTCATATATATATGGTGGCCTTTGTCTCTTTGTCCAACACTACTTTTGGAATTGAAAGATGGTTCAAGTTTACTTTAGTCCATCTGATCATATGCATATTCTTATTGTCTACAACTTCATCTTTTGTTTATTTCTTTTGCTTGTACGACTTTTGCCTCCTTTTCAGAATATGTTATCTGCCTCATTCATTTGCCATTGTTTTTCTTTATAACCTCACACTTCGGACCAGAAAGTTTATAGTAGCTATCATAACGTTGATTAATCAGTATAATAAATATATAGTCTAATATAAATTATTCATTTATTACTCAAGTTCTCAAATTAACTGAAAGAGTTCAATATAGTGACCAAATTTATTTAATAAAATAAATCATTTTAAATATATACGTATATGTATTTAATTATTTTAATGTTATGCATAACGTGTATACGTTCATATATATCTGAAAACTGTTGTAAATATTAATTTGTGGACATTACCTAGATATAGGATTTGTAGGTATGGGCCAGAAGCCCATTAGGTATTTACTCATGTACATTGTATTCCCTTATATATAGGGCTCAAGTGAATGAATAAGATGAGGGGGTTTTAACGGCGTATCTCTTCTATATTCTTCTACTGCTTTCTCTCTCTTTGTCTATCTATCTTATGGGTAAGAATTATTTACAATGATGAATGTAAAGAAAAAAAATATATTATATATCTTATGTAATGAAATCTCTCATACTTCAATTGTCATACTCATGAAGAGTTATAAAATAAAAATGTCCACATATATTATTAATTTGTCCATGTATTTGATTACTCATGAAGCATATGTGGATTAATTTTAACATGTGAATTGTGTGTGTTGTTTGGAATATATATGGTGAAGCTATCAAAATATGCACTTACAACATGAATTTAATTTGAAAATAATAGTTGCATATTTTGTTCCGCTGTTTTATGTATTGAGTATTGACGTGATCCAAAGTTATTGAGCCTAAATCAATTTAAATATTTTCAACTTTAGTCTAATTGACTAATGAACGAAATGAACGGTCTGCAATTTGTATAGTCATAAATTGCAGAGCATATATCCTCTTGAATTTTATACTTATAGATATGAGTTTCCCTGAAGGATTATATAATTAAAAGTATCACTAGTGAATTTAAATATCGACCTAGATTTGGTTATCCTTGAAGGATTGGTCCTGTTGACCAGTACCATAATTGCATAAGAATTATCTAGCGAGGATCTTTGACAAATTGATCTAGTAAGTAATCTCGTTGATTTTTGGATAAATTCATGATCTTTTGATTTTACATCAGCTCTGCATTACTTTTAATGAAGTTATGTAACCAGAATGTTACATAGATTGAATCTACACAAAAGTATTATGAAATTATTTATGTTTGTCTGTATATTTGATAAGATGCATACCACAGACTTATATTGTTGATAGCGATATGTTAATTTATATGTGGTGCCTGAAGCATATAATATAGTTTATAGCTACAATAAAAGGCTCACACGCAAAGTACAGTTGTAGTGCCTGAAGCATATAATGTTCACTTAGAAATGATTATTATACTTTGATGCCCAACTTATATATTTGATAATTAGCATGAGCAGTTGGATCATATTAGGCAATTATTTATGATTATTTCCCCCTAAAATGCGTGGAGAATCAAGCATTTCCCATCTGCAATTTATTGTTACATTTTTTTATCACCACCAATTCGTACCTTTATGGGCCTATATTACAAACTATGGGATCAGTTTATTATTTGGTACGTGTTTTTCATAATATATATGAAGATGATTTCATGACATTAGGGGGAGATATGAGCATAAGTTTATTAATGCCATGAAATATGTGAAATATAAATTATTTGAAACCACGCAATAAATATTGAACTTGAAGTTCATATTATATTTCTGCCAAATGAAATTTATAGTAATAATGGAGTGACCAATTGTGAATATATAGATGTACCACAAAGTAATCAAATTCCCTAGGGAATGATTGACTCCTTGATGCTAGAAGCATAAGGTGATATAATCAATATGATGTATGAAAGTCCGCGGAAAATGTATTTTCAAGAATTAACACTCCATTATAAGAAACTCCTGAAGAGTTGATCCAGTACATCTTGCACGTGCAACAAACCATTATAGTACTGGAAATGCGGAAATGCCAAAATTAGATATATGGGAAATGATTATAAATATGACTAGTAAATATGAAGTAGAATATATGGTTGAGAGAAAAATATAAGTTGAATATCAGTTGTCGACAACATACTTGCCTATGTGATTTCTTTACTATCTCATATAATGATCCGGATCAGAATAATGAAAGTGCTAGAAGCACTTAGGTTGATTCAGATAGAAAAAAAATGAGGCAGAGCTTTCACTCGCTACACGATATATCCCAGGAGGGTAGCATATCCCAGAAGGATAATGAATATTTATATGAAACATGTGATGTGGTGGTGTGATGTAAATATAGCGAGATTATGCTCATGGGTTTATGCAGAGACCCAAATGTTTATTTAGATAAGTTCTCTCATTATCAATGATTCCGCAAGTTAATATTTATGGCAACATTATTACAATGACTATTGAGTCATATGTGAAAGTCTTGGATGGACTCGAGTACCCGAGATGAAAGATAATTAAATGATAAATATTTTCATTATTTAAAGTTGTTGGTGAGATGTGGTACAACCAACTAAATTCTTCCTGAAGAAGTAAAATAAGAAATTCAAGGTAGAACCTTGTGTATAATGATATACAAAATTATCATCTCGGCCAAATAGATTATGTGGTGAACACTATGTAAAATTAAATAAGTTAGCTCATGCTTATAGACGGAGTAAGGATGAAACTTTTGGTTAAATACCAATGAGTATTATCTCGACTTGTAGATCGAGCATCTCCTAGAAGGAATATTTTTTACCCAACCAATCTACTTGAATCTCTTTTAGAGATGTAAAATTGTAACACCAATGAGTGTCAAATATTTGGCATTTGACAAAGATCCAAAGAAACAAATGAGAATATTATAGGACCTGGAGTTCTAATGGAATTGAAGTCCACAAACGACATGAAGTTTATTTATCAAGCGCAATTGTGATAAACTTTTATCTCACAAAATGCATCAGGCCTGGTACTGCATTTGTGATGAATTTGCTAGCAAGATTTACTAAATCTCTCCTTAGAGAGATATCGTGATAAATATTGAGAATATCCCATTATTCTTCATGTATGTTGAGTTATCTTTGGACTTGATATATGATATTGATGGATAAGGACATCAATTGTATAATTGATCCCCGAAGTATGGGTCCTCGATTGGTTATATACCTCTCAAATGGTATTAACTCTTTACCATTGGTTATTGAAATTTTCCCATATTTATCCTGAAGATAACTTAGTTTGTGTTACACAAATAAATTATATAAATACATTCGATGATATTTTTGAATCTATATCAACTCCCGAAGAGCAACAAATGATGATTTTATGCTAGAAACTCTTGCCTTGAGGGGGAGCAACATACAATTATGAATGTAACCAAAAAGGTTTTCCCTTCAGGAGGAGCGATAAATAAATCTCGAAGATCGAGCCCGGAAGGTTAATTATAATCCTTAAAATTAGGCCCTGTTGGCCGGTGCTGTACTCTTTTTCCCTTGACTAAGTTTTTT